CAGAAAAATACTTCAAATATTATAATATTTGCAAAACATCCATGATGTTCAACCTGTTTCATCTTACTTCCATATAAAGTATTGACCACGTTTTCTCGAAAAATAAAATGCACATTAACCATTATAACAATTTATTAAAACTCATTTTCTTCATAGCAATAGTATAAGTGCTTTATTAATTAAATAAGCCGTTGTCCAATTATACTGATTAAATAGAGTACCTATATATACAGGGTGGTTAATTATGCCCCAATCAATATTATAAAAAATGAAATACTTTTAGCTCCGATGCAGAGCGGCGAAGGTGTTGGTTTTACTCTGATGTGGGCTTTTTTTTTATCTGTTTACACTGCAACTTTTTTAATACTGGACCAAGTCCTTCGAGTAGCAACTCTATAAATCACAAATTTCATCTTGTTGCTATTAAAGGGGGTAAAAGTTGAAAAAGTTTACTTCTTTATAGTCGAAATTTGAAGAAAAAAAACCGTACGAGTTTTTAGGTTAGAACTTTTACTGGCTATAATTTCGAGAAAAAGAGTCGGATCGAGTTAAAATGTATAAGGAATATTTATTTGGTATGTCCGCACACGTCAGTTGTATCAAATTTTAATTATACCCATTTCCCACCCTCCTAGGGAGGGTACAAGTTTTTTTGTTTTTTGGGGTTTTCAGTCGTAATTTTAAGACCTTTAAGTTGAAAATCTGCCAGTAGTTAGAACTCATATGTATCCATAACATATTAAACGACAAAAAAATTCGGCACTACAGTTTTTCTTTAATTTCCGGAAACTGTGTTTTCGCAGATTGCGTACATTTTAACAAAAAACCCTAAAATCTTAAAAAAAATGTATTACATTTTTTTTTAACTACAAACATGGTGGGTGTACCAGATGTGAGAAATGAACAGACGCTAATAACTGTCGGTTGGTAACATCGGCCCGTGTTAGGTTAAGTTAGGACCCAACGGTCAGTATCATAATATTGTGTTTATTACATGATAGTACAGACTAGTAAATCTTGTATTTGATTACAATAGATACACGTTTTATTGGGTAAATAAACGTTAGTAATATTTAACTAACAAGTAATGTATGTAAATAAAATTTATTTTTTTTTACCATCAAAGTACCAGTATAGGATTTAATTTTAATTTAAATGTTAGAAACTCAATTTTTCTTTAGTAAACAACAAGAAGTTAATATACAGGGTGGGGCAGTGAAACGGGTGATTTTCCAATGTATTTAAATGGGAAAACCCGTTACAATTTAAGGATCTATGAAAAGGTTTTTTTAGTTGTATTTTGTTAAGTACAAATGATTGAAACATGAATCGTCGACCAATCCAACTAAATTTAACAAGACATTGTTTATGTGTTATTTGTTCCACTATGTTTTTGCAAAAAAAAAACAGTACAGTGGGGTCGGGGCATAGTGGGAACGGGGAGGTCACAGGTTTACAGGAATTTTTAAATCTGAAAGTGATAAAATCACTTTCGAAAAAACGCTTCGATGCAAATCGGTAGTTAGTATTTTCAAGCCAGTACAGTCCAAACCAAGCACAGTATAAACCAGCAAAGTTAGAAAGTATTAAATTGAGGTGCTGTATTTACAAATAAGCATTAAAGCGTTAATTTTTTAAGTGATTTTATTCAATTTTATCACTTTTATTTATAATAATTCCTGTAGACCTGTGACCCCTCGTTGCTTTGATTCCATTATGCCTATACTCTACTGTATTAGTCCTCTCGGATAAAATTACTTTCAAATTAACACTTTGATGCTTATTTGTAAATACACCACCTCAATTTAATACTTAAATAACAAAAGTTAATAATTTTCTTAGTAATTTCTGGTAATGGGACTCAATTTTTTTTTAACATGAATCGATGCGTCTAAGTAAACTGATAATGAATCTGTAATAATCTGTATAAAATATTGACTTAGGCCCTTTTTGCATGAAGCGATTCAAGTAGTATGCCGCTTATTCCGGCGACTATACTCTCGGGATGAAGGAATGAATGGACTATTTGATACTATAGGAACGTTTGGTTACTCACATACCACATAAAAAGTGAGAGGAGGTACCTACACATAATTGGGAGATGTAAGCAAACAGGTAACAGGTGATAAACTTAAGCTACTAAATAATAAATAAACAAATTTACTCGAGCGCAGTTATCACAAAGTGTATAAAAATCATAAATCAATAAATAATTAAATATATAAAAAACTGCAATAAATAAATAGCACAAAATTAAACAATAGCCTCTTGGGCTCAATAAATAAAATAAATATCAATTTGCCACTTTGGCATAAAAAATATTAGATTCCAATAACAATAATACACAACCAATTAAAAACTCACTGTGTAAACTCTAGACAGAGTTTGATTGTAAAACAAACATAACAACGACTTTTCAAACACTTATCTTACGATTTACTTAAAAAAAATATAATTTATGATAGGTACATTTAAAAGAAAAAAACCAGGCAGCAAAGTGGGTAAATGTTAAGTTTCCATTTTGTTATACATTTAAAAGAAACTTTTGTGTACAAATGATTAAATGTTTTTTAAATTTAATATTTGTAATTTCTACATTAACTGCATTTCATGAATATGAGACTATAAAATGAATTGTTTGTTTATTCGAAGTGATTTTTATTCCATCCCTCTTAGGTGTGCAGTTTTCTTTGTTTTGGTAATTAATTTATTATTTAAGGGCCGAAAAAAACGGTTAGCTTTTGCACTTTTATAGCACTGAAATGTGGACTACAGTAAAAAAAGGTTTCTGAAAATTAAAAAAGACACAGCGAAATTTCAAATTATTTTTCGGTTTAACAGTACAGCATAGATAAAATAAACTAGGTAGGAAGTTAAAAATTATAAGACCATTTGTGACGGTTTATACATAACCTAACGAGAGAAAATCCAATTCAGAGTATAATATAAAACCTAGTACATTATCAATTGGAAACCCAAAATTGGGCCTCTGGTTAAAGGGTTCTATACACGTTAGAAAATTATTGTTCTTTTCGTTAAAATTTTTCCAGATACAAAAAAATATATAGTAATATATGTTTTTCATATATAATTTTTTATACCATGAATCTCTAGGAAAATATCCTAAAAACGTACATGTTTTCATGTTAAAATTACGGTGCGCTATAATCTTTTTTAAAAAGTCTAATCCAAATTTGTATGCGACATTCTTTAGATATATAGTATCACCGAAGTACGGTGAAAACCTAAGAAAATACCATAAACCGTTTCCTCGAGAAATGGTAGCATCTTTTCTTGAATTTCGCTTGTTAGGCATAGTTATAAGACTCGAGGTGTGACAATTAGACATGCAATTAATATAGACCGACAGAAGAAATACTCTTAGACCAAAATAATAAAATGTCTGTTATAGAGATTGGCCGTGCTTTAATCATTCCCTATAGACTGTCAATTGTTGCTCATTATTTTTTAGATTTATTGCCAATTCAACTTTAAAAAAAAAAACAAAACTCAAAATGAAAAGGAATGATCTATCAAACAGTTTCTGCAATACATATTTTTTAAAAAAGTGAATAATAATAATGTTTAATGACAAACGTATTAATACTACAATATCAGGCCATCAAAATTTAATACCTATTAATTGTGATAATTAAATATTTTTACAAAAAAACTATATCATATGTTATTTTTTAACGGTATTATAGAACATTCGATCTTGAATTATAGTATACAAAATCATTGTCAATAATGTGCTTAAAAATGTATTTTTAGTATTAGGCTGGTTCGATATTTAATAATAAATCCCACGAAACTTAACACAATCGATTTTGTAAATGACCCCGTATTTATAATAATATAATTCAATAATATCATTACTGATGTTGCGTATTTTGGTATTAAAAACAATATTTAAACTCGAACATCGTTAACTATTTTTGTTAGGTTTAATATAGATATTTGAATAATGAATATTATGTAAGCGAACCGAAATTTGTTAACATACATTTTCAAAATATTCCCATTATGTTTTTAATTATTTATACATGGGAAACATTGGCGTAAATTATTTTAGACAGACTACGGAATCTTAACAGTAACCACCTCCCCCATCCCAATATGTTCCGTCACCAACCCCACTATGCACCAATCCAACTTTGCAGCCTTTTTTTTTGTACTCGTTTAAAATCTTTGGAAAATCTTTTGACGTATTGTCGCCGTAATTATTTAAGACTATGTCTATGTCTAACTATAGTTTAGTGTATGGAAATTATTATTATTATTTCTTTAACGAATAATATTATTACACGAAGATTTAATAGCATTCATTGTCGGCTAAATTGTTTTTGTTTTTGTGTGAATGTATAGCGAATAATATGTTGTTATTCCATTTCACGCTAGTAAGTATGCAGTGTTTTTTTGGGTTACACTGTGCTTACAACAACTGTACGACCTAGTCAAAAACATTTATTTAAGTACATACGTATAAAGAAAAAAAAAAGAAAAACAACTATCTACTAATATTTAGTTTGGTGACTAAACACCATTTTAGAAGGATTTTCTCACCCCTCGAATAAAACATGTTATCGCGAAATACAGCGTATGAAAATCATTTAATTTATTTAAACGCATAATATTATTGTATGAAGATTTAATAATATTCATCGTTCGCTATATTGTGTTTGTGCGATTTATATCAAGTACAAAATATATTGCTATGCCGTTTCACATAAGCAAATATGCAGTGTTTTTTTAGGTTACACTGTGCTTACAACTGTACATTTGAGTCAAAAACATTACTTGAAGCGTGTACTATGTAAATAAAATGAAACGAAAAACAACTATCTACCAATATTTTCCATTTCTAAACTTAAGTTGTTTTTATCATTCGCACCGTATAAAAGACACCCCGAGTAGAATCGAATTTCAATGTTCACCCGACTTTGGTATTGAAGACTTACTTCTGGTTCAACAAAGTGTTTGAAAAATAAACAACCATTATGCATTTCAAAAATGCCGTTATCCTTTGTATGTTGTACTTCGTGACCGTGACACAGGTAAAAGTACTTAATAAAAAACATTTCATCAGTTAATGTATTATTATTTTTATTGTACCTATGGTATTTTATAGAGCGCCGGACTCAATGAGCAGCAAGCCGCGGATATTGTTGATTTTTTTAATGACTTCGAAACAACTACAAACGAAATTCCTAAAGAAGATATCGTGAGTTTTGGAATAGACATTGGCATGAAAGACATGAACGATTTTACATACAACGAAGGTAATAAAAAGCATCTTTTAAACAGGGTTTAAACTTATTGGTTGTAATCAAGTCTTACCCCACCTCCCACTTGGAAAAAAATTTGATGTCTGTAAAAAATAATGTCCATCTTTCCAGTATTTAACGGTTTTTTAATTTAATGCACTCGACTTGGGTAGTTCGATTGAAAATTGTTTAGAATATATTTTTCTATTTTATTTTAAACTATAGCTTTGACTGACGCTCAAAAAGCACAAGATCTTTTGATACTTCTGGCCAATAACGATAAGACATCTGACCGCTGGACGGTAATATTGAAAAAAAAATATGGAAAAATTTCAAATTAACCTGATTTTCTTGTTACCATATGCGTTTTTTTTTTATAGAAAAAAAATGTATCATCCTTCGAAGTAACAATTATCGTGACAGTGTTTAGAAAATTCGACGAAAAGGTTGTTAACGATGGTCTTATTGACTACAATGAATTAAAAAACCTCGTTGATAGTTTAAGTCTAACACAAGAGTTCAAAGATGATTTAAAAGGCGCATTTGACACAGGTATTATTGAGTTAGCTAAGCAGTTAAATCTATTACTAAGGTTGATGATTTAAATTAATTTTATTAGATGACACAGCAATTAACGCCGCGGAGTTAGTGAAAGCCTATTTGAGTGTAAAACCAAGAGTAAGTATTTATGGTTTCGTTAAAGCCTCGACGAAGCACACATATAACTATAATACTTTTGTCGTATTATACATTTTGGCGCATATACAGAAAAAAATCCATTCGTATACTTACATGATTTATATACTTGTACTTAGGACGGAGGTATAAACATGGCACAGCTTGAAGAACTTGCCCAATTAAAAGAAAAAAAAACAGGCAATCAAATTAATGATTTAGAAATAACAGACTTTTTCGTAAAGTTATCTATAGTCGGAGAAGACCTCAAGGAACTTTTGAACTTTACTCCAATTCGTAAGAATATATTGTTAATATTATCTCGTTTGTTATTATTATTCAGGTTTGGCAAAATAACTTTTTATTTAAACGAAGCAATAAGTAAAACAAATTCTTTTTACTTGATCGAATTTTATTATTTGACTTTTTTATGAACAAATTAATCAACACTAGTTGTTAGCTTCGAAATATTTGTTATCGATATTATTCTTAATAGTATGTGGTTTAATTATTTTTAAATTAATCGAGAAAATTTGTCATCTATAAAATAAAACGAATAAACAAATTAATTACAATTACAATTATTGAATTTATATCGTTTTAAATTATGTTATCTTTTTTTTGTTATTTACGAAACAACTGTAATTTAACTAAGATTTATTCTATTATTTTGTTTTATTTAAACATTTTTCCCAACTCTGATTCTATGATTATATGTAATATGTATATATTTTAGTAAAATAAAAAATGTATTCATTATTTCGATTATAGGTCAAGCTGCTTTGGAGTTAGAAGAACTGGTAGTTATCACAGCAGAATACAGTAAAGGAGACGGTGTAAGTTTAATAATTTGATTACGATTGCGTTCTATTTGCTTTTACGACGGCGCACACACTCATTTAAAGTAAAGTAAAGTATAGGACATTTTTCGTTAAATCACCATAGTGTACATTCATATTAGTACAGCAATGTTGTCAGGCTATCACAGTTATTTCTATAGAAAAACATTATACATTTTTTTTTACATTAATATAGCTGTTCTGCGCGAATGAAAGCTAAAGTTTCGACTAAATTTTAATAATTTATTAGAAAATACGAAAAAACTTAAAGTGTAAAAATGTAAAGACAAAAAAATTATCGGATCCACCAAAAAAAATTGCCTTTGGTATTATGCTCCTTTATTTTACTATGAAAATCCGGTGGACTCAATACTATCACAGCCCATAGAGTATATTATTTTATTCATGCAAACCCCATGCTGTCAGACTACAACTATTAATGTCGAGTGAATAACGCCCTCGTGTGCATCTGAAGAAGTACCCACTATATTAATTACTTTGTTGATATTTCAGGTTTCAGCTATACCTGCCTATATAGTTAGGCAAATTGTATCGAAATTCGATGAGTTAGACACAGACAAAGACGGTTTACTCAACAAAAATGAACTTAGACATTTCGGTGACAGATACCTTGAGACTGAACTAGAAAGTCACGACGCCAATAGTAAGATTGCAAATTATAACGTTAACGAAATCGGCTTAATTTTTTTAAATAACTTCCATATCGAGGAAGAGCATAAAGTAGGACCTGGGTGGTTTTGCATGTGTTACAGTTGGGGTTAGTAAATAAGCCGGGAAAAAAAAGTTGTTTCTTATTATTACAGATCCAAAAACTACCTCTAAAAAAAAAAGGAAAAGTATCCATTAGTTTAAGGTTATGCTAATGATAAAGCTTCTTGGGGTTTTTATATGATCGTTAGGGTTGATATTTTAAGGATACGGTAAATACATTTGTTAATTGTTCTACACGGATATTTTCATAATTTCAACATCTCGGGGAAAAAGTAATTTTACAATTATACAAAGCTTCGTGGGAAAAAGATTGCTGACTTTTATCACAATAAATCTGTATATATTATAGTGGCCAAAACGTTGAAGTAAATCTAGCGACAAAATAAAATAAACTTCTTAACTAAAAATATTGTACTTTTTAGATGACGAAAAATTGGACATAGTGGAGTTCATCTATGGGTTACAGGAAGTGGACAATAGCTTGCCCAGCGTCGACGAGTTCATAAGAGAGGACACTCTACAGGAGGAATGATGTTATAATATAGCTGAGAATAGGCGTATACTAATGTTTTTAATATTATTTTTTGTCAACGGGGTGGCACTTGCCCCCTCTTTATATAAAAGTTTGTGTTTTTGCTGAATTAAAAATTATACAGAATGATTTACATACGAATATTTTTTGTGGGTGTTCTAACTATGGGTTATCAGTTTTAAATTTGATGTTTTATTTTTGTGTTGTACTATGTTTTATTACTTACATATGTTTATTTTATTATTACATTATTATGTTTTCATTTATAAAACGATTAAATAAATAATGTAATACCGTTAAAATTATGTTTTCATTTCGAAATCATTACAATCACCTCTCCTAGAGCTTGCAAGCCAACTAGTTCCTGAACGACACACAAAACAAGTATGCATACTAAAATGTAAAAACAGTCTTACAATATTCTAGAAGTATCAACACTATTAATTGTTGCTATAAACTGTAAACATTATAATCGAACCTGATCGAATAGATCTAATTTAAAAATAAAAAATCGTTAGAAAAAACCTAAGTGTAGAAAAAACTTAAGTGTCACACTTATCAGTTATAGCGTATTTCGTGCAAACAGTCGGAACACAAAGTCTAAAGGTCGGTGTTAAGTAGTGGTATATGTAGTATTACAATACAATTATCACATAGGTATCTGAATATCTGCTATTATCATATAGATATAGTGTACGTATCTCTTACTTAATCTACAGATATATGACATTGTAAATAATAATCAGTTACCTGTCCACAGGGCCGGTGCTAAGAAATATTCAAGGGGGGGGGGGTGTCAAAATGAAGATGCCGGCTTTAAAATTTTAATTGCTGACTAAAATGTTTGTGTACTTTCTTAAATATATTATGATATTTTACATCACAAATCACGACTTTTTTACTAGAATTAATGGGAATTAATAATTGATGAAAAAAAAATTACGAGTAATTTTATAGTCAATATTTTTTGATTATTATTTTTTTAACTTTATAAATTAATACAAACAAATTTATATAATACTATATATATGTAATGTTTTTGAAAAAAATATTTGGAACATATTTTTAGTAAATTTATACGTGAAAAATTGCAATTTTTAAAGTGTTTTAATGATTTTCACAATAATTATATTATATAGTATGAAAATTAATACTACCGTGTCCCGAGAGGTTTGTTTAATACGTGAGAAAGGTCTTGCAAACAAAGCCGTCTTTGCGATGACGTTTTTTGAGTTTAATTGAAATTGCATAAGTAATTGTCAGACGAGTACTAATTGTAATTGACGTAGTACCGTGGATTTATCCGGTCTCATAAATAGAACAAAGTATGAAAAGCTATCACTTCAAATAAAGTGTCTACTTGAAAGGTTACGCAAACTGTCCAACTGCCAAGACGTGCATCGGACAAGCATTAATTTTTCATCCCTTTTAAATGACATAACGCTAGAAATAATTATTTTCTGCGAAGGCTTTTAGAAAATCAATTTGTATTCAGTTGAGATGAAAATGCCAAGTTACTTATTTAGAAAACTCAGAGTTTCATAATAGCAATTTCCCTTGGAGAAATTTCCTGATAAATATTATATACATATATATATATATATATATATATATATATATATATAAATAATATATATTATATGACTGATATGTTTGATAGAAGAAGTTAATTCTATTTCAAAGCATTAATACCTTATCTTATATACCTATAAGATTAATATGACTAATATAATATTCTTCGGTCATGCCGGAGATGTTTATCATAAAAAAAATGTATTCTAAATTAAATAAAATATTTACAAAAAAAACATTTTTCGGCCGAGTCTGCAACCACGAAAGAGCATTTTCATGTCTCGTTGAAGTACCGAATAAATTTAGTGTAGTGGTGGAATTATAGATTATGAAATAGTATATTAACAAGCTAGTATCAAAAATGGCTAGTGAACATATCAAGTTTCTGGCTAATATTTTAGTGTTTTCATAATATCTGGCCTAAAACAATTCATTCATAGGAATATGACCTCTTAAATATTGAATTTATTTTTAGTTATAGATGGACCGATGTGAATACAACATATATACTTCAACCCCGTCTCCGTTCCCATTCCCACCCCCATAGTATTTCTTTTTTTTTTCAAAAAAAAAGTTTTAATTTATTTCAAAAACTTTATTATGACAAAGAATCTAAAGAGAGAGAGAGACAGTAAATTAGAACAAAGCAAAAGACCCTTGAATCCAGAAATCGTAGAACAAATGATCATCGCTGTAGAAAACTTCCCTTTCCTTTTTGGAGAATTGATTTAGAATTATCAGATAGCAACACTCAGATATTTTATATTTCATTTTTTCTAAGTACACGTGTTAAAATTGAAAAACCACGAAAACATAACATTATTCCTCAGTGCATGAACTGTCACGCTTACTTTCATACAAACAATTATTCGTCTCATCAACCACGTTGCGTAAAATGTGGGGATAACAGCTATTCCTCAACAGAATGTCACAGAAATCCTAACACTCATCGGCCAGATGTGCCCTCTGCAACGAAGATCATTATGGCAAACTACAAAGGATTTGAAATCTTTAAAAATATCATAACTAAAAGAAAACCAGTAAGGACCATAATCGAAATAAACCTAAAACAAACAGTGAACTCGCTACTCAATTCCCATTAATTTCCCCCCAATTCCTACCTACCGAGTAAATTTACAAAACTTCATATAGATTTTTAGTACCTAGGTACTTTAAATTAAAAACACGTTAAACCATTGAATAAAACTATCTAACCTTGAAATGACTCGTAAAAAATCTTGTTGTTAGGCAATTCAAATATAAACGTTACCATTCACTACAAGTGTTACACTTTACAGTAGCTCATATCCGGTGTGCGGGTATTTTAATAATAATTTTATCATATTCAGCGCTTTCCTAAGTATCTCTGTTTTGTGGTGAGGGGTATTTTCAATATTTTACTACTATTGATGACATGAATAATATGTCTAATGACTGGGGGTTATTCTGCAAAATTGTCCGTCACATTTAGTGTCCCA